CCTCTCTCCACGCACGCACGCACGGACACAGCTGCCTTACCTGTACGTTGTTGGCTATGCTCTCCCTCTCTCCATGCATGCACGCACGGACACGCCTGTACGTTGTTGGCTATGCTCTCTATCTCTCCACGCACGCACGGACACAGCTGCCTCACCTGTACGTTGGTGGCTATGCTCTCGGTCAGCGCTGTGTGCAGCACTACGATCGGTTCGCCTGGCATGCTGTTGTGCACGAACACGTAGCAGCGTCTGTAGGGACCGACACGCCGCTTGATGTCCGTCCAGTTCCTCACCGGGTGCACGGCTTCGTAGCTCGATATCTGCGAAAAGAATGGGGTCGGCATTGCCTCATCTTCACACACTACAGTGTTTTGCTACTCTTCTAAGCATTTCCCTATCGCAGGAGCTCTCACATTTGCATCTACCGTAGCTTCAGAAAGCCCTGCTCCTTTCTCTCTCCTTCTCCCTCCTACCCTGGTGCATCTTTTCCTCTTTCCTCCCTCCTCCTCCTCCTCCTCCCTCACCCCTCCGTACCTTCTGCATCATGTCGCAGGAGCTCTCCCACGTCACGCGCTGTAGATGAAGGAAGCCGACGGAGAACCACAGCGAGAGCAGGTCGTGCAGCGACTCGTTCATCTTACGCAACTCCTGCCACCTGTCCTCCAGCGAGTTGTCCTGCAGCGCCTCCTATAGGAGCAGAAAGCAACCATAATCAGGAAATTTTTTCAAAGATGGTTCATTTTCCTCTGTGTACATGTATCTGACTACTATCCTGCATTAGTTTGACATGAAGATAATTTCATTATTTATGGATTTATAATATTTAAAAAAATAGCAATTAATAAAACATAGTATAATATATATGGTATAATATTACTTTTATACTATAATAATTTTTTTAGCAGATGAATAGACATAACAAGCTTACTGACTCACACACGTGAATAGGATTCAGTTAAAAAGATCACGATCGCACACACGGCAAGCGGCGCCCCTTGCTTACGAGAAGTTCTGCACGCATGTCCACGACAAACTTCACACCCTCTGGCAGCTTGGCTATGGCCTGGAAGAGTTGTAGAAACTTTGGCGTCAACGCCACATGCAGTCTCTTTTCACAGTTGTAAAGGACGGGATCACCACGTTCCTGCAACAGGAAAGCAGTCAGAATTCATATTATCTACTTTTGATATTATGTATGGGTGTTAGCAACCCAAAGTAGCCAGGAGTGAAAAAATTTCTCAAAATATGTTATAGTCGAACAAGACCTGTAGACCGCCATAGGCACCCTGTAATGCTAAGGGAGTCAAGGTGCATGTCCTCAGAAAATTGTTGAAATATAGCTTTCCTGCTATCTAGGCAATTTTCATGCAGCCCAGGAGCAACAAAACACCAAGGGCTTGAGGACATGATATATGTGCTTTCTTCTTCTTCATCCATTTCCAATATAACGTAAGCATTTCTTTATTACTTTTATTAATAAAAAACGCTGATATTATCCCAAGAAGGAAAACTATCTTAGGAGTGAACTCTATATATATAACATATGCATCTGAATTATACCGATGCCGCCCAAGTTTCATTATCCGCCTTTTCTTCATCAATCCGCCCGTACCCCAAAAGATGCTCATACCTTGACACCAACGAGAGCCTCTGCCTTCTCAAGGATGTTCTGATGTTTCACCGAGTAGTCTGACGCTAACATGCGCATGAACTCCAACCGTCCGTCCCGCTCCAGATCTACAACAAGAATTTACTCCTATAGAGGGCGCTACCATAACTCAGTGCAGGTCTTGCCAATGGTGTAACAAAGGGGAAATATCATAGGTAGGGGCAATGTCCCAGAGAAAGGGTAGCACTGGGGCAAGGAACCAATGTTAGGGATGGGACAGGATGTCAGGGTAAGTCATGGGGCTTTGCCGAGTCGTAGCATCATAGTCTGAAAAGGTAGCATTGCCACCCAACCTAAGACAGGTACGTAGATTCAGCCACCCCATCCAGCCTCATATTTTTATGAGACACCGTGGCTGACAATGCCTATCGGGTCAATAGTGGTCACTAACACAGTCATGCATCACTGTAGCATTACCCACACAGCTTTTCGCTCCTCGACAGACATTTTCCCACGTGGAGCGATAGGCTACACAAAGTAGGTGAAGCTACATGGAGTTATATACCCTTGTAGGTGGAACATATCTCGCGCGTTCCCTCCTCGTTCACATGCAGCGGGTGATCGACTATGTCGTCTAGTATCTCTCGCACTGCGGCAAAGCTCGCTCCTGCCGCCATCCGCCTCACAAGTCCCGCTGGCGCCGCGAATATCTGTGAGAGGCACGGGAATGTACGCGTTAATGTGTCGGTCGCCCGGAGGTGTAGTGTGGGCGATCGTGCATGTTGCAGAGTAATAAGATCATGTGGTATACGTACATAAGCTCTAGTGTTACCATGCCTTAAAACATGGAGCTCATGCATTATTATTTGCAATGCTAGATGACACTGACAGCAAATGACTGATTCGACCAGTATAGTTGTTTCGTACCTTGGTTCTCGCATTCTTCAAACTAAATAACAAACTATAAACCCACAGCATCCCTTGATGTATCACCTAAGCATCGCATCAGTCTTCAGCAACCTGCAATAAACAACAAAGGCAACACCATAGATGAGGAGGCTAGGTGTGCCAGAGTAGTGAACTGAACATATGACATCGCATCGGTGTGGTGGGCCAAGGAAAAATGGCCCAAGGATAGAGAACATGGGTCCGAATAAAACCAATGTGCCTAACCCTAACCCTAATTCTAACCCTAACCCTAACCATAACCCTAACCTATTATATTGATATAATATTATATTTATATTGATGTAAATGACATTGGTTTTATTGGGACCCATGTTCTCTATGATCTATCCTTGAACCCGAAAAATTACTCTCAAAACAAGACTCAAGAGTCAATGAAAATTGAACGAAGTAATTAATAAATTACGTATCTGTCTGCATAAATATCAAAATGGAAGGTTGAAAACTTCTCCTATTTGTGCCATTGCGTATTGTTAACTGATGTGTTATAACATAAACATGTGACATAAACACAGGGACAGGCAACATACGTTCAGAGTATTCAGTGTGATGTTATCAAGTGAATGAAGTACACCTACTTCAACGCTGATAAACAGTGCTCTTTTGTTACGGCACACCAGCGCCCTCTTTCCATGCGAGGAGAAGAAACCGGCTGAGAAGAAACCGGCAAACCACTGATCTCTATAATAAAACCCTAATAATAGTTATTTATAGAGATCAGTGCGGCAAACACGTACAGTTACTGCGAGTGATTGATTCATTGGAAAGGTCTTTTACTTATTTATGGTTACTGTTTTGATAGTTCACATACAATAACAAAAATACACGTAAAGTTACTAGGTATGTTTGGAAATCGCTAGTCTATTTTATGTTGGATGCCCATTGAATAATAGGCCCATTGATTACAAGTTGACGAATGCTACAGCAACTGGCACCTTGTGTAGTTAATAAGTACATTACCTTATAGCCAAACGCGTATTAGTTTGTCCAATATCATGCTGGTTACTAAGAAATGTCTATTGAATACGCAGTCCAAGAAATCAGTTGCTGACTTGTTTACAGTTTCGAAACCGCATACGGCGAAACGGTGTGATACAGATTTATAGTGCACCGACATTTCGCACCCATGCTCGCCGTACCCAATGCTAGCGATAGTACAGTACCGTAACTGTAATACGTAACAGTAGCTCTGATTGTAATGAACGTGGAATCACGTACCGAATCACGGACGCTCGTGATAATGAATAGGCGTGTTGGGGCG